TTTTCCCATGCTAATCTCACTTGAATAGCCTTGTTCATTTCAAGACTACAATCTAATGACTTGATAATTTTTGCTGAGTGATGCAACCATCACCATAATTCATTTAAGACATATTCAGTCCATAAAAAATACCATTTCTAGATGTTTTCCTTGCTGGTTCTTTTTCCATATAGGAAGTGGATTCTCATTACTGTAACGGAAGTCCCCAGGACATGAGTGAGGCAAAATTACATGCATAGCCCATAGACAGTGAATCTAACAGACTAGTTCTGAGACATTTGGAAAAGTCCTCATGAAATTTACAAAATGAGAGAAAGAATATCTCCTTCAAATTATAGTATTTAAGTAAGCATAATTTTTAAAATTATTGATATTATATGTGAACAATTTTGGGTTAATTCTCTTAAAATGTAATTTATGTAACTAATATTTTAATCAAAATACAATTTTCCTGTGGTTGTTAGTAACAGCATGGATCTGTAATAAGTTAGATATTTACCAGCAGCATTTTTAAAAATCATTGAAATAAAAACCATATAGATGCTTAAAATAGAATCTTGTAAAAATAAGTTTCATACTGATTGGGAAAATATTAATTGCAGAATACTATCATGGCTGTAATAAATAATGGGAGTGTTTTTGTATCCACAGTCTTTTCCCTTGTCTGTTAAATACAGATTAGCTGGTAATTATCTAATAATTAAGCCAGCATGTCAAAAAGCTTAATTGCCACCTCATCCAATTTCAGTCATATTGATAATAACTGTGAAGGAAACACAATTCAATAAAATTGCTTTGATGACAAATCCCAACAAATGTAACTTGTTTCCTGAATCACATACAGCTTCCAAAGTAAAAAAACTTTTTGTATTAGGACAGAAAGTTAATATCAAATTATTTCTTTTCATCCCATTTGGAACCATAAATATTCCCCTTAATCAGCAATACCAATCATTTGCATTTTTTCCTTTGATAGTCATTGTTTAGCTAAAATATGTTCCCTAACTGAATGGATTATTTCCATTCTTGAACTTAGAGATTATCCTCTCTTTGAAGGAATTCAAAGTATTCTTTCCCTGGATGTCAGATAAGCTCCTCTGTTTCCTGAAGATGCAGTAGGAGACAGAGGAGTCTGAGGAGTCTGAAGTCTTCCTGTAGGTCCCTACTGTCACTTTATTTATTTATGCCATGCACAAACTGAATAATATACTCTGTTGTAGTGTGTCCCAAGGACTAGTGGTCATGACTGTTGTATGGTCAACACTTCAAAAGAACTCACCAACTTACTAAAGTGTAGTCACTATGTATATTCCTCTTCTGTATTAACACTATTTATAATTTAGATAACAGTGGGATTTTATATTTGGCATTAACTGTTAGCTTTTGCAATCTTGATCCACACTTCTTAAAAAAAAAAGTGTAGCAGTGTAAGGCTAACTCATTTCTCTGCTCAGAAAAGTATCCATCACTTTGACACAAATAAGCCAACAGGGAGGCACCAAGACATGCCAAAACATAAAATTAACACTTTTCCATAACACAAGAATACTCCATTTTTTACTTTGAATAATTGTCAATATAAATATGAAAAATTCTCCTCTAAGAATAATTCAGGTCCCATATTCTGCTACAGGATATGGAAGAAATGGTTATTTTGAACCCTCAGAACTTCTGTTTTGATCTCATGGTGCCAAATTCAACTGCCATTTTGTCTATATAAGAAGGATTTGAAATGTAGACATAGGATTTTATTATTGTATTCACACAATTCATAAATATATTCAGCAAATGTCTCCATGTAAGGCTCTAACCTAGACAATAACCTCCCCCCCAAAAAAGAATACAAATATTTCTGCCTGAAGAATCTCATCTGATGTATGTATATATGTATTTATGTATGTATGCATGTATACATATATACATAAGTGCACACATGTGCATTAATTCACACAAATACATACTTTTGTAATTTTCTACATGTTCACACAAAAAGAATTATGGAGATAAAATAAATACTATAAAATTTACATTAAACCAAACAATGTTATTCATTTCTAAAAGAAATATATTAGATAATTATTCATAAAAATAGAACTAGTTCTTTTATTTCAATGTGAGCAAGGTAATTTTTAGACCAACATTGATTATTCAGCTGCAAAAGATCAGCTTAGTGAACAACTATGCTCTCACACGCAAATAATTAATGGATCCTAATTTCATGGTATATGATACTTCCCACTGAGCCAGTTACAAAAGTCTATGCAGACCACATCTATGAAAATGCAGACCAGATTTATGAAAATCCAGGCTGGTCTTATTTCTGTTAAACTCTTAAATCCCATGAATCAATTACCATCTTAACTGATGGACTTGTATTTTCAACACAGATAATATCTCCTAAGCATTTAATCTTTCAGGTTAATGAATGAAATGGGTGAGGATAGCTTACAAGTTTGTCTTTCCAGCCTTGAATTGTAGTAATATCCTGTTGTCTTTGAAATATACTCTCAGAAGAATTACAAACATATTGTGTATACAAAAGCCAGCAAGTAACTTAATATTTTATGTTTGTTTAAGCAGAAATAAAAAGATCTTGTGAAAGCCAATATGAAAACTATGTCTTCAATATGTTTTTTTTTTTAAATCAGAAGTAGAGATTTTTGACAAGGAAAATTTCTGTATAGTAGTCAAATAATCAATAAAGGTTCCACTTTAGAATTGTTTTGAGCTTTTATGCTCATGTATTTGTCTGGTCTCTACAGTTAAAAGATACATTCACACCTTTTCTTCATTCAAGGAAACAACTACTTTGGAATGCAATGTTACATTTTTGCTTAAATTATAGAGAAGAAAACTAGAGTTCATGGGAATAGTAACTAGCATAAATATACATCCTATGTCTTATATCCTAATAACTTACAGCATCACTTCTATTTATCTGGCATATAAAGTGATAGATCATATCAATCGATTGTCTGAAAATAAACCTCAGTTTGCAGGGACCATCTATCTGTGTTGTTCCTATGAGCCTGGCAATGACCTTGAGAGGAAAGAGGTCATAATTCCCAGGGAGTTCAAACACTAAGGAGTCACTGGTTAAACAACAACAGATCCAATTTAATTTGGCTAAGGTTTACCTAGACTTAGAAAAAGCAAACAAAAGACTTTTGGGTAGCCATATAAGCACTACTTTATAATCCTCTGTGGACTTTCCATGGTAAAATCACATGGCCATCAGAGAAAAGAAAAATGTCTTCACTGTCCAAGATTTCATCAGTACACATATGTGCACATGGAGATGAAGCTCATCTTGACACATTTGCTACATTGTTGTATGTCTCTGAGGCTATTTAATTGACAGAAATAGGTTCTGTGAGTATACAAAAAAAAATCACAGGCCATATAATGATGTTTACAATAATCATTACTCTAATTACAATTATTCTAAAGCAAGGCCTGATATACACAAGATTCTTAACCACCTTTAATGCAATTGTACACATTTATGCCATCCTTGACAGCCTAAAAACACTTTTTACATACATATTGTTAATCTTCAAGGCAGAATTCAGGTATTTATATGATGCAATCATGTGGCAGAACTTAGAATGAAACTTGATTAATACAATGCCACTACTAAGTAAGTTAAATAGCATTAGAACTCTCTCATCTAGTAGAGGACAGGAAACACCCCACCTTTCTTTCTGTTTTTCAACCACATCTATTATTTGAAATGCTGAAATGGAAGAATTGACAGGCACACATTATTTATGAAATAATTATTGTGATAATACTCAACAATGTGTAGGAAAGGTTGCCACTACATTTATATAATACGCTGTTTTTCAAAGCTTATTGCGTGGAATCAAAGTCTATTGACCAATGGTTAGTTTCCTCTTAGCTCATATTATGAAAAAAATGGCAAATGAATGTCCCAGATTTTTACTCCTTAAGTTGTTTTTATTGTCATGAAAGATGAGTAAGTAAGCTCGAAATGGAGCCTATTTAAAGCTCAAATCAAACAGTGAAAGGATAGTTTAATAAAATAACAGCAAACAAAATTAATGAAAACAAAATAGCTTTTAAGAGATTTGTGAGCACACAGTGGAATGCTGCAGAGAAAGAGAGACAGGATGTGATCTTATTTGTCCAGTGCTGCTTGGAATGTTCACAGGAGATGAAAACAACCATCAGAGTAATAATTACTATGCTTTCAGCACTACTTCCTTGTATGACCTTCTGCAAACAGAATGTACCAATCCTGGCAATTAGAGGGAATTTTGTTAGTAAGGAGTGTAGCTTCTCTTGTTGAGCACTTATTATTTGCAAAATACTATAATAACACTTTTATTTTCTGCATCAAACCTTAAAAGTTTAGAAAATATTTATCATATGTAGAGAAGAGAAAATAGCCACACTACAGGTCAATCGTTTCTTCCATGTAAAGCACAACACTCCCCCTATGTAATGAATCCTGACTAGGGTTTTGGGAAGGCTGACATCAGGATTTTTCACTCAGAGAGACTATCCTTCTTAGAGTCTCATAAAGTGAAATACTGAGGATATAGCATACTAATGTGAATATTTATTTATATATTCTTAATATCTTAAGACCCTAATTTTGGCCAATTTCATTTTTAAATAAATTTGCATACATGTGAACATACAGAGATGTATGCATGTAATTCAATGAATTCACTGAAAATATCCTCATCTTTTACATGCTCTTAACAACACATTCTTTTTAAGAGTTCCCTGTCTTACTCATGATTTTTCCAAGTGACTCATTAGCAACCCAAGGTAGTAGTCATCTGCTTTCTCCCCCCTAGAAGCTCAGAAGAAGCAATTGGAGGAGAGTATAGAGCTGATCCAAGACGAGTGTGTGTCAGAGAATGCAGACCACTCCACAGAGGAGCCTGCTGAAGGAGGGCAAGAAGCGGATGGAGGAGAAATGACTGATGGGGTAGAGGAGGACTTCGATGAAGATGGGGGTCACGAGCTGGTAGGAATGCAACGTTTGGTGTCCACATGTATTGGGTGACAACAAGAGCATTTGATCTGAGCATCCATTCTAAAATAAAGATTAAATCATTTGGGGCTTCTTTATCTTGTAAGAATATATTCAAGGGAATGTCAGTATAGTGCTTTGCACATAACAAGTGCTCAATATATTTTTTACTACTTTAAATTATGAGGGTGAAAATGAATGTAAAATATAAGTGCTATATACAATGCTACGTATGCATAAAGTCCCAAATGGAAGACTTTCTTCCCCACATTCCCTATCATGGAAGAAAAATTGCATTTGTACAATTAAATGTGTGGGTGGACATAATATGCTGATGGCAAAAGTCATCTATTTCAAGACAAATGAAAGCTTCGTTTAGAATTTTTCTACAATTATTTATTTTTATTTAGCTATTTATTTTGCCTATGTACGTACACACATGCTTTAACACATGTGTTGAGATCAGAAAACAATTTGCTGTAGTGAATCCCATGGAAGACTCAGGTTGTCAATCTTTACAGCAAGCACACAAGCTTCCTTTAATTCAATAGTTTTACTCACAATCAGTAGTCATGCACACTGCCTGTGTGGCCAGCCATCTTCTCCACAACTGGCCTGCCATGGTAACTCAATAGTATGTTGTCTCTTCATCATTTCCAGTATCAGTGCCACTTGATAATAAATTATTATTGTTTAGGAATTTAGCTAAGACCTTATATTTTCTTTTTCCATGTGGAATTTAGTTTACTGTTCACTTCCAGGCATCTTTTCCTTGACTACTACACCACACACTTAGTAATAATACATGTTGCTACTTCAGTAACCATAACATTAAATATTATATCCCAAAGAACTTCATTAATAAAGGTGAAAAACAGTGTGAATATGTGTGTGTTGGAGTGTGCGATTGGGTGTGGGTTGTGTTTATGATGAACTCTCAATTGTATCTATAGATTATATTATATACATATATTTACTAAATATAAAATAATAGATTATTCCAGGTGATGTTATATTCCCATTTATTTTAAAGCTATCGTTGCCTAAGTAATATTGTTATGGTATTGCCATTGCTGTTTGATATGGTGGTAATATTATCAACCAATTCAATGAAACTGTAACATATTAAGATTCTATATTGATTTTTAACACCCATCTTTATTTAATTACCATGGCAAATTAATTTAAGCTTTTCAAATATAAGTATTCACCAATTATCATGGATCATTCAAATTTTACTTCAGATTGAAGTTTTCATAATGTGAGGTCTGTCCACTGTTTTAGAATTACAATGGTTGGTATTGATCAAAGGCAAGAAAAAAAGACAAAGCTTGCCAGGCAGTTGTGGCACATGTCTTTAATCCCAGCACTCGGGAGGCAGAGGCAGGCGGATCTCTGTGAGTTCGAGACCAGCCTGATCTACAAGAGCTAGTTCCAGGACAGTCTCCAAAGCCACAGAGGAACCCTGTCAAACAGAACCCTCACTCAATAGCATGATTTCCCTGACTTTTTCTAATCTGACATCTCTATCAGTATCTTTTTGATGAGTCTGCCAGGAAGATTTCAAGTTTCCAGTCCCAAGGCTGGCTTTCCTTATTTCTTTCTTGCAAGATTATGCATAACTAACTACTTCCTTTTTCTCTGAGATTCCCCTTATTTACCAAGTCTTCAGTTTCTTCTACTATCCCCACCCCCCCTTTAAGTATTCCAAGAGGCCATATGTATTTCTATCACTTTTCTACATTGCACTCATAAAGTATCAGAGCTTTAAGCATTTTCTGTAAACTGTAAATGGACATTTTATTTCTAATTGCTTGCTATGACTCTCAACTCTTCACCTGACTAATACCAGACTAACACCAGCACCTGAAATAACATGGCCAGAGTACTCTTGGTTGTTTTCCTGTTGTCTTTCCAAGGCTTCCTCATTCTGTAAACACTCTCATCAATATTCACAATTATACCAGTTAGAAGGATGAGCTTATTTCTCCTCTTCTGTGACTTACACATCCACCACAAATTCTTTGTCCCATTCCACTTTTCTCTTCAGACTCTTTTTATCAGGCTGGTTTTCCTTTACCATGTAATCCATTTCAGTCCTTTCCCTGTTCAATCTAGTCTATAAAGAGATAAAAATATTCGTTCACTACACTTCACACAATGTTATGCCTTCACTAGAAACTCTGTAATGCTTTCATTTCAAATACTTAAATCAGTTAATGAATGTGTGGTACTGTGATATGAAAGATAAAAGAAAAGAAAAATTCATAAAAAGAAAGTGAGAAAATCCTGAAACCAGAAACACGGTAACCATCCCAGGTCTCAGCAATTGCCTCAGATAAGATTCTTCACCTACAACTAACATCAGGGCAGCTGAGAATTGGGGTCAGTGTCACAGGGCACCAAACTTGGGCATGTAAAAGGAATTGATTAGATCACAGACCTATAAAGACAAAAGATTTTGCAAAAGCTACAGAAGAGAAAAAATATACAAGATCACCAATTTGGAAAGTTTATAAAGACTTATAGTATTCAGAGTGTGTTGATGTTAGGAACCAACCAAGAATAGAGTAGTACTTTGTAAATTCCTTTGAGAACTTTGTAAAAGCAAACGTCCATGTCCCACTAGGGCCTTCTCTGTTTACATAGGCTACCCAGAATCCAGAAACCGACAAATGAGGGGAAATTAGAACAGCTATAAAAAGAGTGACTGACTAGAAGGACCACGAATTTTAACCTGACAAAGAAGGAGAGAAACACAGGAAAGGATTATAAAGGAAAACTATGAAACTAATCTGAGTCCTATCAAACAAGCCCAAGTACAGCGTCACATGTCAGGACTAGCCACTATTCCCAAGTGAAGCAAATAACATGAAAAGACATGAAGGCATTGCAACCAAAATGTCCATATAAGGAAGAATGAAGTTAAGCTTCCCAAGGGTTTGGGTATGGCAAGAACTTCAAATATACATGGAGGGAGAACTGGGAGAAAGAAGTGTGTGTGACTAAGCAGTCCTTGCCAGCCTGTGTGCTCTTGATTCTTCTGCTCTAGTTCCACAGGATAGTTCTAGAGATGTCCTTGTCACATGAAGAGACAATCTGGTTCTCCTGAAATATTTGCTCCTGCAAAAGAGAGAGCTCCTTGCAGGGTCATTTGTCTAGGGGGCTATTCCTACAACCCAAAGGGTTTCAGGCTTAAAACAAGGACTAGAGACTTTTAGGGAGCTTTTTGAGGGGAATTGAGAAAGACTTTGTAAATAACAGTAAGATGATTTTGTTACTCTTGACTTTTTACTTTAATCCCCAAAAGAGGATGGCATAAAAGAGGCATCACCAGTTTTGAAACACACCCTTCTTGTACCATTGAACATGCCTATGTGCAGAATTGAGCAGAAGTGTGACACCACCAGAAAGGAAACACATACAAAATGAAGGCAGAGATAAAAGATTTCCATGCTGTTTGAATTGTCATAGGGCCCAAGTGAAGAGTCACAGCTTTACCAGAAAAAGCAATTTCGCACAACCTTCACACAGGGAAGGAAAATTCCAAAGTGTTTAAGTAATAGAGAAATGGGGCAGAGGCAAGTAGCAGAAGGTGGAATACTACCCTTCAGGACTGAGGTCAGATGTATGAGTGGAAGGTGATGACATGATTCATGGGAGGTTACGATGGAAGTGTCAGGATCAAAGGTCAAAACAGATGAAAAACTAAATAATTGAGGTCAAGGTGAGACTGGGGTCATCTAACCCATTATGAGATCACTCCAACTATTTTAAGAATTAAGTGATGAAAGTAGTTCCTGGGTTAAAAACAAGAAGTTGCAAAGTCCCCAGATCTGTCATCTTTCTAGTCAAATTGACTCACTTTGAACAAATAATACCTTAAACAAATAATAATCACTTTGAAACTAGTAATATTAATTCAGAAATTTCTTCATGTAGTTGTGTGTTTGTGCCTATTTGTGTGCAGTATGTGTGAGTCCATGTGTATTGAGGTACACCTGTGGAGCTAGAAGTGTGTCTGTGGGTGGTTGGAGGAGTAGAGATCAACACTAAGTGCTTCTTCTATGCTAACTCTCCACTCTAAATAATAAGACAGTCTCTCACTGAACCTGGTCT